ATTTATTTTGTATATAAACTCAGGATTAAAATATAGTGCTGTTTCAGCGTAGTAATATAAAAAACATATTTCACGACTACTGCATATCACCGCGTTTTTCACAGAGTATTACGCCGCCACTTCACTTTGTAAAACGGGTTGTTAAACTCCAGTATTAGAAATTAAGTGAACACCGAGGAAGTAGTGTGGGAAAATGCGAGTTACTTTCTGGGATCGATGAAAATCGATCTGACACTGCGTAAAACTCGGTGAAAAAGGCCGTGATATGCAGTAGTCGTGAAATATGTTTTTCATATCACGGTCGCCCGTGAAACTACAATAATATAAAATTATCATTATCGTGTTAATGTGACGATATATTAATTATTAATAATATCAATGGATTTATATGTAGGGTAATGAGTAAAATATTTGAATATATTTTGGTACTGTATGCGAACCACTGGAGTTTCACCCGTTTTACGTAAACTGGTGTAAAACTCCGTGAAAAACGCGATATTCACACTACGCAGTAGTCGTGAAATATGTTTTGCACTAGCGTTTTTCATATCGTGGGTGAAACTCGACTGAAGTATACTCGTTACATCAGGCACGATATCTCTTTATGGTGCACTGGAGCCTCCTCAGGAGGGAGCTCAAGTCGATCCGTCTTCAACAACAGACCCGATGGTAAGTAGGGTAGGAATATATGTAATCGCTTTCCTCAGCTGCTGAGCTCAGAAGAGTTTCCTATACAGTGTTGGAGTAGGAATATATGTAATCGCTCTCCTCAGCTGCTGAGCTCAGGAGTTTCCTATACAGTGTTGGAGTAGGAATATATGTAATCGCTTTCCTCAGCTGCTGAGCTCAGGAGTTTCCTATACAGTGTTGGAGTAGGAATATATGTAATCGCTTTCCCCAGCTGCTGAGCTCAGGAGTTTCCTATACAGTGTTGGAGTAGGAATATATATGTAATCGCTTTCCTCACCTGAGCTCAGGAATCTTCAGAGCTGATTATAGTAGTTTATATATAAACTAGTATAGAAATGTATTGAGTTATATATACTCTATATATACAAACTAATAGTTATGTATAGAAACCAGTGAGAATTTCCGGAAATTTTCTCGGAAAATTTTCAGTATTTTCCTCCCATTAGGCGGTGAAGACTAAACGATTAAGTCTGGATATGATACTGTGTGTGATAAACGGCTCTGGCAGTGCTCTGAAGAGGAATGCTGTTTTCATAGAGGAGATTAAGTAGGAAGGGCGCGGGTTCGATCCCTGGGAGCGACATTTTTATTATTATTTATTTTAAAAATGTATATATATTACTTTTGTAGGTGCGCATTTTTCATTGGAATAGATTTTTTCATTTTTTTATAAAATTTATTTTCATTTAACGGGCGAGCGTGATATGAAAAACGTATTTCACGACTACTGCATATCACCGCGAATATCACCGAGTATTACGCCATTTTATGTGAAACGGGCGAAACTTCACTAAAGTGATGAAAATTTTCCGATAATTTTTTTACGACGCAACTATTGAATTTTATATAAAACATAACTCCTTTTCTTCCTATCAAAATTAGAGAATCATACAGAAACCTATAATATTCCCGGTCGGGAAATTTCATTTTGAATTTTCCACGAATGGCTGGGAACACATTCTTCAATCAGTTTCCCATGTAAATGTCATCACAACATTTTTCTTGTTGTTATCAAAACCTGAGAAACGTTATTTTTTGAAGCTGAATGCGTCTAATGGGTTCGATCCTTGGGAGCGGCATTTTTATTATTATTAAATATTTTCAACATTTTGTTTATCGTTGCGATTTTTTTCTTCCGGAATTATTGAATTTTTTGTATTTTTTTGGCTATCGTGTTTTTCAGGTTCCGTCTGATGTATTCGATTTTGCGTAATTGTGTGTCACCTGTCCCCAAGATATTTACTCTAGCATTGCAAGTTTTCGTGGCAGTAGCAACGAATGCGGATTTGAAAGCTCATATAAGCGCCCAAATCGGAGTCTTTGTGGAAGAGGTTTTCAAGAGGATATTGAACTCGGGAAATTCCAGTTATCAGCACAAACATCGTGTGCTGCAGGTAGTATAAAGAAAATGGAATTTTACGTGAAGTGGCGTAATACTCGGTGATATTCGCGGTGATATGCAGTAGTTTGTGAAATATGTTTTTCATATCACGGTCGTGAAATTCCATTTTGTTATTTTTCTATTTTTTTGTATTACTAGGCCTTCGTAAGGAAGGGTTGGAGCTCACTTAGTTCACGTCTATTGATTCGATAAATGAATTTCACATAGGTCCCCGGTTCGATCCCCGGGTTGGACATTTTTCCCTCAAAAATAGTTTTCGTGGTGGTCGCAGAATCGACGATTTGCCTACACCTCGGCATATAGAGAAGTCGTTTGATCTATCTGGTGGCCTCCCACGCTTCGTAGTTGAGCCAGAATAATTCTGCACGCACGCACAACGCGAAAGTATCTGTTGTTGTGGTATATGCTCCGCTCATTTGCTGTTGTCACACGTAGTTGCCAATAGGCTAGGGATCGCTAACTTTATAAACAGTTATTAACAGATATCATATAAGTTTTAGTGACAAGTGAATGGAAAATAGTGACAACAATTAAATGTATTTTCTGTGCTATTCATGTGTGTATATCAAAGTATATTTTTATGTATTTTCTGAGAATAATATGAAGTTTTTGATTTTTTTCAGGTTTTCTCAAAGTTGTGTACGGACGCTACTACTTGTCTTGATTTGTTTAAAGAATACGATTGCAGTGTGACTGAGGGAAATGTTTTTGAGGGATCCATATCTACTTTGGCAAAAATCGCGCAAGGAGGCGTTCCGAAGGGTGGAGGGGAATTGGAGGCAGTTCAAGAAAATAAATTGAAAATGTTGGCGCTCGAAAGTCTAGTTACGTTGACTGCTAGTATGGTGGAGTTATCTAATCAGAACGAGCAGGAAGTGGAGGAAAAAGGAAACGATGCGGCTAATGCTAGTTGTTCGGGTGGAGATAGTGAAAGTGGCGAGGGCAGTCCGAGGAATTCTATTAGTGCGGCTGTTGGGAAATCGAGCGCTATTGTGGCTAAGGCGAGGAAGAGTGAACTCGAAGTTGGAGTAAGGAAATTTAATATGAAACCGAAACGAGGAGTGGAGTATTTTGTGGCGCGCGGTTTTTGTAATAATGATCCTGTTGATGTTGCGAGGCTTTTGAAAAAAACGAGGGGAGTAGATAAAACTGCTTTTGGTGATTATCTGGGTGAAGACGAGCCGTTCAATTTACAAGTTATGTATGCGCTGGTGGAATCGCATGATTTTCAGGGGATGGATTTGGTATCAGCACTGAGGGAGTTCTTGGATGATTTTCGGTTGCCAGGGGAATCGCAGAAAATTGACAGAATGATGGAAAAATTTGCGGAGCATTTTTGCAAGGAGAATCCGGAAGTGTACGCGAACGCAGACTGTGCGTATATCTTATCGTTTTCGCTGATTATGTTGAACACGGATTTGCATTCATCGCAAGTAAAGAATAAAATGAGTTTTGAAGATTTCAAGAGGAATAATAGAGGAATTAACGATGGCGCTGATATACCGCCAGAACATCTGGAATTTCTCTATAGTGAGATAAAGAATAAACCGTTCTCACTCGATGAGGATGAGGATTTGAAATTGAAGTTGGCAAGTCGGCAGAAATCTGCGATGCAACCATCGAGGAGGTTTGAGCTGTTTATAAAAGAGACGGAGTCTATAGTGGAAAAATCAAAGGAGATGTTGAGCAAACGGCCGGAGGAATTGGGCAGGATCAGAGACCCTTTGGAGTAGTAGATGATGTGTGGGAGGAGTGGTATGGAAATATATGTAATCGCTTTCCTCAGCTGGGCTCGGGAGTTTCCTGGCTGATTATAGAAATTTATATATACGCATCCGAGTAGAAGTGTATAGAAACGAGGAGTAATTTCTTTAGAGATCTTTTAGAGTAGCAGACGATGTGTGGGAGGAGTGGTATGGTATCGATTATAGGAATTTTCAATATCGTTGATTAGAAGTTATAATGAGAACATATATTGCATCGACGTTGTCATTGTTTTCATGATGAAAATTTGTAGTTTCTTCTGTATAGGTATCTAGGACCGATGTTCGAGGTGATGTGGGGCAGCATATTGGGGACGCTCTCACAGTTGATGAATTCTGAAGAGGAGTCTTTGGAGATTATAGAATG